CAGGAACGCAGTTACAGGACTTTCACCAGCTATTTATTACTTACAAATCTTTATGTTTAATCAGTGCACAGTAGATTATACCTCTATCTCTGTAATGCCTTGTAGTGGGTCCGTTTTCAGTATGCTTCCTCATCTGAGACAAATACCAACTCATTTACAAAGTGGATTCATTTGGGAAAAACTACCAGAGGCTTCTCCATGACATTGCAAATGAATGCTGCTAATAAGCATCTCCTAAGATGCTTCAACGGTGCACAGATTAACTACAAAGCCACAAGAGGCAGCTGTAAGACATTAAAAGTGAAAATCCTACTTTTCTCCTTGTGGCCCATCTCTGTTTCTAATGCTATGATTACACAATGTTGATACTCCAAAAGAAAATATTCAGCTGAAAGGCTGATCTCTGTGTCTGCACCTGTTCTGGATTAGTGATGGAAAAAAGAATCGATCAAGAAGAGTCTGCTGTTAATCATGAAGACATCCTCATCCAATCACAGCAATGTGTTCCACCAATCAAACAGCCATTCAACTCACCCAATTTATCCCCATTCCAGAACGATTTCTGCAAAGGAATTTCTGTAACTACTGGCAGGAACAACATCAGAAGAAAAAAGCAAATCTCTCAGGCATCAGACAATGTGCATGTTCTGAGGGAAAAAAAGATGCTAGAATTACTCAGCTTCTCCTTAGATCCAAAAGACTTACACGAGCTACTCTACAGACTGCAGGTGTTCGTTCAGTGAAAGAAGCTTTTGTGTCAGCTTCTCAGTATGTCTTCATCAACACGGCAGGTCACAGGCGAGAGGACACCTTCAGGCCCATCAAGCTCGTTTCATTGCTACTATAAGTAGGATCTTACAATCTCATCCGGAATTTCATACCGAATTATAACTGAAACATTCTTGGCATTTGTACAGAACTCTCATCTAGCAATCAATGTGCAGAGCCAGGCCAGACTGGACCCAAACTCGGCCCCAGCTCTCCAATGGGTAGAAGCCCAAAGTTCTGGAAAACCGAAACACACCGTCAAGTTTTTTGCAGTTTGGAATATTCTACTGGCAGGCAGAAAGGTTGTCTTAATTTCAGGACCAGGTTTCTTCCAGGAACTGCAGACAGAATGAACCGTGTCTCTACTCCAGCTCGTCTTTTTCTAACTGCCCAGCCTGAGTCAGAGAAAAAGCCCCTACTGGACACAGGGTAAGAAGTGGCAAACTTAAGAAGGGCCCTGAGGCATTGCTGTTTATGCTGAGAGTTTGGAGAGGCGGGTCAGGCCCTCTATGTGTCACATTTAGCAACGAAACACTTTACAAGCCCTCAGGCTGTTAGGAGCGTACACCAGACAGAGAGAAAACCCTGGAATTTGTACCAGGACAGAAGAACGGTCACCCATCCCGGCAGGAGAGAGCAGGGCTTCCTCCTCACTGAGGTGCCCCGGCTGTTCGCTTTGCACACCGTCTCAGGGGGGCCAATGATTTAATGTAAATTTCCAGTATTTCTGCATTTTCTCTAAACATTTTTTCCCATCCAGTGACTATACCATTCTTCTTTTCCCTGCTGCCTGTAATCGTCCTGGGACGCTTGGGCTGACGCCTGCGACATCAGGACTTGGAACGCCGACCCAGGAAACCGGAGCCTCTTCCCTTGGAGAACCCTGTTGACCATCCCAGGACGGCAGGATACCGGCCCAAGACTTGACCTATTTAAACTGATGCATCACAGACCCATGGCCTAGAGGGCTTGGGACTCCCAGAGGCTTCTTTCCTTGCTCCGGGAGTTTTGGTTTACCTCTCCTCTGTGCCCAGCGGCTAACAGTGTTGAAACCGTTTACCGCTCAAGAAATCTGTCCGGAGCTCTGTGGCAAAAGTGTGGCTGTGAAGGAAGCTGGAGCGAATTGCAGGATTTATTGATTGGCCGATTTAATTAATGGTGCGTCTGCCACTATGGGCTCCGAAGCTGAAGCCACAAGCCACGGGCTCCCCTGTGCCGTAACGAGCGGTGACCTCACCGGGGACGTCTGCCTGCAACCGTGCGAGACACCGCCCTCCCAGAAGACCACGGGGCAAGCGTGCAGGAGCACAATGGGTAATCGCTTGATTGGAGTCAATAAGGAAGCGCAGCCTTCGTGGATGCCCCATCCACTTTCGATTTACTGTCTGTGTTTACATAAAAAATTTTTTACAACTAAGTGGCGCTCTCCCTTCAAAGACTGATGCCAGGAATGGTTCCCCTTTCATTAGGAAAAAACAGCACATGAAGGCTTGGCCCGGAATCGGAGCTCTTAAAACGAAATGTTTTCAAAATACACAGCGCAAACCAGGAGTCTTACAGTAGTCTCCTTTATAAGTCATAATTGAATTTGCTTTTCATTACAGGTATCAAGTCCAGTTATTGTTCCTTGTTCGGGGTGTGCAAATGTGTGGCTGAATTTAAATCCTCTGCAGAGTTCATAAACGTGTGTAGCTGGGCAAATATTGATCCCACAAGCCATGTCTCATGGAAATCATGTTCATGCTTTAAAAGTTGCATTTCCCCTGGGTCTTACTTTCCTTTTAATAGCCTTTGCATTTCTCCCGATTTCAAAAGAGCAAGTCAGCTTCATGTTCTGTGAGGTAAACCTGCCTCTATAGGAAAGAAACACTTGAAAGAATGTTAATTTGGCGCATACTAGAAACTCATGATTAGGCAAGAATTAAGACTAGCATCTCTGTAATGTGAAATACAGTATTATACACACCTGCAAATGGCTCATTTTAGTTCACTTCTAACTGTTATTATAAGTTTAGTTTGATAAGAGATGAAACGTTGACAGATTGGGTGTCCAAAAATTAACTTCCAACATTATGTTTCTGTACAGGTAGATAACAGCTCAAACAACTGCAAGGTAAGAGAGACTGAAGTGGATTTACTGTACATAGAGGTGTCATGAACGATGGCTCTGGATGGATAGAGATTCCAAAACACTGACACGGAAAAGCGCAGCAAGGCTTCCAACTTCCAGAGCACTACTGCCCAAGGTAAGAAGAGGAGCAAATCTGAAAGCTCTGGGGTGGCGACGCTGCCACCATGCTGGACACACCTGTGGCCAGGAGCTCCCTCACTGAGGTACAGAACAGCTGAACGCACCGTGAGGAGAGCAGAAGCACTGCAGCACGCTTCTCACACACAGGCATCTTAGCACACAGCTGCAGCTCAGTGCAAACATACTGTTCACACCTTTACATTCTCACTTTTCATGGACTCCATGTGCTGCAGTACAACAACCCTACAGAACGATCTCTGCGAGAGAAAAGGTACGCAGCTCAGGGGCCGGGCCTGTCCTGGCTGTGGATAGGAATGGCCCGGCAGATTTTACGGATCGCAGATCGCCGCTCAAACAATTTGTTTTTTTAAATGACTTTCCCCACACTTTTTGGTGAAGCCACTGAGACTTTTTGGAATGAGAAGAGAAACATGTTGTCTGCAGCCTTCCAGGCCCAGATCTGGACAGTCCTGGATTCACTGAACAAGTCATAGGCCAAAGCTAAGTGGGTTACTGTATTTGTAACCTTGCAACCGAAGATGAATTTACAAAGTGCTGCATTTTTCACCCACTGATAGGGAAAGTGAGCCGGTATTAGATCATCATGAGACGGGTTAGTTTAACTTACTGATGTCTTGTTGCGACAGTGATTCTGCTCAGTACGAGAGGAACCGCAGGTTCAGACATGTGGTGTCTGTGCTTGGATGAGGAGCCAGTGGTGCAAAGCTACAGTCTCTGGGATTATCACCGAATCCCTATAAAAGGAGATGGCCTATTGGTTCCATTGGCACAGGCTAAACTCATCAAGCCAGAGACCCGCCCGGAGCATCGCTGCTCGCCCCGTCTGCCCCAGTCTGAACGCCCTAATCAGCCTCGTATCCGCAACACACTGAGGCAGGTCAGACCCCAGGGAGACCTCAGGCTTACGATACCCTCTAAAAATCGCACCAGTGAAGTTCCCACTCGGAAGAAGGGAGAAGAAAAGACTGCACACCGCTGCCATGGAAACATACAACACCGAGAAACATGTTTTACAACCGAATCAATCAGATCTGTCGCTTCCCCTTTCAGCAGAAGATTTACTTGGAGATAGTACTGAGTGGACAATGTATTCCAGAAACAATGAAGTCAATTATCACAATTAATACAAAGGAACAAGTAAAGGTTCATTCCATGCTGAAAAGAGAAGAAAAGAAACAACTATTCGGCTATGGAGCCTTCTTTAGGTGTCAATGAATACAAGTATACAAGTGAACAATTAATGCAAGTATGCCAGATGGCTAATTGGTTCACTCTAGGTGGGGATATCTAACTGTACCATCACTCACACAGGCCTGACATTAAAGCAACAATGCAGACGGCTAAAGGGGCATTAAAGTAAAAACAAAGTCCAGTCCT